AAAATTTTCGAAACTTATTTTTCGAATCATAAATTTTTGACGTTACTCATTCCTTTCATAAATACAGTTCAAGTCATAACTGAACTACGGGGATTCATTACCCGATTTTTCAACGATTTTCATTAACCACATAAATCGATAAATTTAACATCAGATCATACTCAATCAGATATCAAGTAGGGTTTTTCATCGTAAACCAAATCCGAAAGTTCTCCAAAATGAACAAGTTCAAAATCCAATCCAAAAAAGTTCAATACCAACATAGTTCATAAATAAGCGGAAGCAATTTAATAAGCATAATAAATAAGCATAATAAGCAATGACCACCGCCCGTCTTGTCTCGTCACGCGCCACTGCTTAACCTGCATCAGTTACGAGCAGGTGGGAGTGAGTACAGTTAACTATCGTACTCACACTATGCAATGCACATTTATAATATGTCAAATTGGCATGGTCGCAGCATGGACACAAACAATACACATATGTCACATCTCCATTATAACATAAATACTCCTGTGCACATCTTTCATAATAGTCGCGGAAAGGGGATTCATTACCCTAACGGCGAGAGTACGTGCCACGCAAGGACACGGCCTTTCATAATAGGTCTTAAGGAGACTTGCCTCATAAAGCAACCGTATTACATCGACGGGGACAACCGTATCGATGACCATCATAATAGCTCACATCGATAGGCTACATATTCACGTTCATACATAGATCACGCCAAAACGAAAAACATATATTTAAACACACATTGCATAGATAAATTTAGAATAACAACCCACCTGGATTCCGGATTGATGGTAACTCAAAGCAATGGAAGTAGGTCGAGGCTTGACTCCTCAAACACCTACATTATGTCAAGATCCTACAATCAATATCTTGACTTAATCGGAAAACACAAAACAGACCTAGTCGAACTTGTTTCGACTAAGTAGTTCGTGAAGTCCTGTGGACGTTGGAACGCTTAGACTCGGTACAACACTCAACCAAACCACATAGGAGAGTTCACATAAATTCATATAAGGATAGACCAAGTCAAATTCACAACAGAATGAAAAGCAAGTCGATTACCAATTTTAAATTTCAAAATCATATTTTGAAAATATTGACCATTAATCACATAAAAATAGATGGTAAGGTTACCCTACGACTTAAGCTCTGACATTTTGCCCAAAATTAGATCTTGATTCTCTGTAAAGACATAAAGTAAATGAAAATTGATTCATATTCTTATACATATTTAAATAAGAAACTACCAAAAATATGTTGACAATTGCAAATAGTAATATTGACATTTATATATATACCTTATAAAAAGCAGTAAAGTAAAAAATCGAGTGGGACACGTACGAAAATATTTTAGCTTACTACAAATTCCCAAAATTGTTTTATGTCCAAAAAGCTCAGCATAACATGAGCTATCAATGTTCTAAAAATTATATTCAATAGAGATATCTCAAACCTAAAATTTAGACTACACAATGATAAACCACATAAATCGCATGCATACATGATCTGCATATTAAGAGGTCAAACATCTTAGTTTTTCACAAAAGTCTATATATGCCTTGATTATATATACATAAGTAGTAGTATCCTAAAATAAAGGAATTATAACTTTCAAATTTTAAAGATAACTCAGTTGCAACTAAGTAACAGATTTACCATAACAAATTTTAATACAATTACAAATAGTTTAAAATTGTAAGTAATGAAATTCTGCAAAATGTGATTGACCCTGACTATGATCCTATCATTTATTAATCTGTTATACATACAAATGTTGGAGTTACCACAATTAATTTTCATCATTTTGCTGAAAATGAATAATGTCTTCGATTTATAAGTTATTATAGCGAAACAACAACTACTGAAAATAGATTAAAGCTGAGAAGAATATTACTTACCAATACCATGGTTGGAGACCGTCATCTTCTTGCGCTTTTGTGAAATTACCGTAGATTTTGTTATCTTCATCTTTCTTGAGCAATACAATAGGTCGGGTTGTTCTACCACACTTCTTAAAGTTTCAATCTATATTCCCTAGTTTTGGTCACTGAATTATGAGAGAATTAATTGACTACATGAAATCTAAAAACCAACAAAAAAATGGATTATATAGGGTATTAAGCATGCTACTTTTCTTACCAGTGTTGTTCTTGTGATAATAAATCGTCATATAGCATGATTAAGGCGTGGAAACCCTTAATTATCGAACTTAGAAAACATAAAACATGTCTTAGTATTAATAATTATAGAAAAAAAAATTGTGTCTCGTTTTTTGCACCACATTTGTGCTGGTCTTGTATGGCATATAGCAAAAAATTAAATATTTATTTCGCTATCCAGTTAATGATTGCATTATAATTCTCTATTTCCTATCAAATTATAATTTATTATTTTTTTTACTCGGTTAAAAGTTGTTTGTTTCATAGAAATTTATACCATACATAATCAAATTTTATCTCGTTCTTTGAAAAATGAAAATGAGTGTCGTCATTTGCACCGCATTTGTACTCGTCTTTAATTGCATATGAAAAAATTAAATATTTATTGCAATGTAATATGCTTATTTGCTTTAACAATGTTTGGATACCTTTTAAGTTCATTTTTTGCAAAGTAATGTTAAATAAATGTTTTAGCATATTATAAGTTGTGTTTACTAAAAAATAAAAATATAATGCTATCATAGTTAATCGTTGAATCGTAATTCTCTATTTCCTATCCAAGTTAATTTGTTATCCTTTACTCGGTGCAAAGTTATTTGTTTCGTCGAATTATAATTATCATAAAATTAAATTTGCACATGACAAAATAAAATAGATTAAAATATTCTAGTTGACTTAGTTTGAAGAGTTTTGAATAACTTGGATTATGATCATTTGATATTCTAACCTACTCCAAAAATAAGTTAGTGGTAGTCTTTAAATTGATATTCAGAGACAATTTAAAGTTTTAATAAAACAGAAACTAAATAATTCACCAAAAAAAAAAACTTTGATTTAATTTTATTAACAAAAAAGTTAAATTGCTAAAATATAAATTACAATATATACAACTTTAACAAAAAATAGAAAAAAAAAAAAATTGTAAAGCCATGCTAACAAATTACAGATCTGGTTATAAAAATACATACATCTAAGAAAAATTTTAAAAAGAAGAAAAAAATTGTAAAGCCATGTTGCTTGTACTAAAGCTGATCCTCCAGCTTTTTCAACAATTCCTGCAATAGAGAAACACTATTAGAGCATTGAAATATTCTATTCAAAATAATACTCAAAAAACTGAATCATCTTGTCAAACACAATATACCTGCATATCTTTGCATAGCCTTTTTAACTTAAAATCTTAAATATACCTAATGAATTAACAACATACCACACAATATTCATCACAAAAAAATATGAAACGAAATTAATACTTCAACATCAAGCAGCCAAATCAAAATATCCAAAACAACCAAAACATAGGCCTAAATAGTCCAAAATACAGCAATAATAATCCCAAAATAGATGAGTTCTGCATCTCATGAAGACAAAAGAGACAACTGATTTTAAAATGACTTAGGAAATTTGTTCTTAAAACACTAAGAAAACAAAAGAGTCCTCCAGCTGGAAAAAATCATAAAACTCTAACAATCAGCACTTGATCAACTTTGAGAAAATATTAGATTCATCACTATCCAACTGTGCTCCACGAACTTTAGAAATTAGAGAACGATCCCTCGTTAATTTAATCACCGTGTAAACACCATTGGAAACACCAAGTTGGGCAGATCTGATTTGGACCTTAAACAGAACCTTCATGTCTATCAAGTTATCAATTTTATCCGGGATAACCTTCAATACAATTTTTATGCAATCAGTTAATATTTAATTGTCTAAAATAGGACATAATTGTTGATTTTAAATTTTTGTATATACCCCTTCATCATTGTTGGCCTTCAACTCTGGTGCAGTTTTTCCAAGTAACTCAGTAGATTCTTTGTCCCACATTAAGAAAGCCGCATTTCCAGTATGATCCACCACTCGGATTTGAATTTTGTATTTAATACATGCATTAAGACATCTATTTATCAGTATTTATAAGATAAAGAAATAAGTTTGTCATCAATTTTATTTGGAAAGTACCTTATCTTGCCATTTGAGTCCAGAACATCACATTTTTCACAGTAGAATTTTCCACTAGCAGGAGTCAGTTTTTTAGGACACTTGTTACATGATATATACCACCAATTTCCATTTGTCTCCACAGAAGCAATTTTTCCATAGAAATAGCTACCAACTTGAAAATGACAGAAGTCAAAATAGATAATAAAAGTAATTATCTTATATTAATTGATTAAAGGGCCTAATATTGTAGTACTTCATTGCTCTCTACTATCTGCTCAATAGTACGAACCATCTCATTAGCATTATCTAACTCTTCAGCAACTGAAATTCTAGAAGTTGATGACATGATGCTAATTGGAGTTGATGTGTTGCCCGCCGTAAAGAAACTAGGCGTGATTGTATATGAATTGTACAGTAAATATCCCAATCAAAACTCAAATTTAACTCTACTTTAACTCAATTCCACTATCTCCAATATTATCAATATAATTAAATAATATCAACCAATCATTATTACACATCACATCAATTTTAATTCACTATTCATCCACTCACATAATTTTAACTAACTATCACTTCCAATCATTTTCTCCTACTTATCCATCAAATCAACTTTAATTATTTTGATTTAAATATTATTTTAATATATCCACTAACAACTAACCATACTACTTTTTTTTAAACTCAACTATAGTTAAAAAATAACCAATTTTTTACTAGTTGAATTCATATCCAATCACCTCCTAATTTAGTGAGAATATAATTAGTAGTTAGTACTATATAAAGTTAAATTATATCCATAGCACAGTAGCAATGTAAAGTTCAAAGATCGCCTTTTACCTGTTCCTAAAATCTTGAATTTGATCGTTATCTTGTCCAATATCATCTTTTGGTAACATAGAATGTGTTTTCCACTCGAACTACACCAAATTTTTTTGCACGACACATTTGTAGCAACACTATGACAGGTTGTTCATCGTTAACAATACTCAAGTAATCAGTTAACTCATCCACATAGTCTCCCCATAAAGTGCAAGGTAGACGTAACCCCCTTGAAGTAATTTATAATTTAAAATTGTAAGATCACTAAAAAGAAAATATTAATAATATAAATAAAGTGAAAATTAATATTACTGCAAGTCTTCCAAAATAATGTCCATCAGTTTAGATTGACGTCCTTGTATCTCTTTGTGTTGTGACGAGTACTTGCAAGCAAGTCTTCCAATAATATCTGCATATAGGTTACATTACATGTTAATTGAAAAAAATCATGTGCCAACAAAAAATTCGCATAATGAAAATTTTACAATGTAATGACCTATAAGAGTAGATTCATCCACAGTTTGAGCATCAATCAATTGATCAAAAGACTTGAACTCAAACATCGTATATGGAAATGATATATCAAAAATCTCAACCACTCGAGTTCTTTGGACAAATATGATCTTGTAAATGCAAGGGGTTGTTTTGTATCTTGGATTACTTTCAGCAACCATAAAATCCTTCACAGCATAAAGACCACCTTCCTTCAGGATATTTTGAAACAATCCAATTTGTGGTTTCTTTATGGTGGCATGGATTCTTGGTCCCCATCAAATATAATTAGACAAAGTTATTTCTTGAGTCATATATGAAATATACTTGTGCAAAAAACTAAGAAAATGATGGTGCCATACCTCTGCATCATGAAATACACATTCTTGGGTCCACAATTCAGAGTTACTGCCATAAGTAGGAACTCCGTACAGTCTTACGACCCTTAGCTTCGAGCCCATGTCATTTTCGAAGGGTTGACATCCTTAATCAAGTTGAACAATGGACGCATTTTTTGGAAAATCTATTTCAATATGCTTCAGCTTCAATGAGGTTTTCTTGTGTGTTGATGAACAATCAAATAATATTATTTATAGTTGTTTTGTAATTAGTTTAATTATATTTTTATTATCTTTATTGGTAAACGAAAAGGTTAAAGGCATACATTTAAAGGAAAGACATACATAAAAAAAAGGTACTGTAGTATATTTGAAAGGGTGCCTGCAACTCGAGCTTTTTCATCTGATAGTATTTTTTTTATGGTCTTTTGCACTTAACAATAATTAGTCAAATAAAGTAAGAATTTTTAACATTATCTATAAAACCCATCATGATGGTCATTTTTTTTATATTTTTTATATATTAAGAATTCTCTCATCATTGCAAACCAACCGTAATCAAATAAGTATTTGTTTTTTTCCTTACTTTTTCGTTTGTCCTTGTTTTGTGTGTGTAAGCTTTTCTTCTACATTTTTTATATATTAGTATGAATTATTGGATTGTAGTAGGTGGCCTGTGGAGGCTACCTTTTTATGATGCGGACATGTGTCTACATACATACATATATATATATATATATAAATAAATATATGTGAAATGTTTTTTTTATTATTATATTTTATAATATGTGTACAGTTCATATGATATGAGAAATAGACTCTCTTTTATGTCTACATATATATATATATATATATATATATATATATATATACTGATGTATGTGAAATGTTTTTTTATTATTATATTTTATAATATGTGTGCAGTTGATATGATGTGAGAAATAGACTCTTTTTTATGATATGTGTAGTATGAACCGAGAAATAATAGAAGTTTTAAAGAAAAAAAGTTGGTAGTCTAAAAGTCAGATTATTGTATTTATCTTCTTAAAAAGGTGTGGCATTATATGATTGCATCTTAGTAGACTGAGCACTCCAATTTCACATTTCTTTTTTAGATAGACAATAAATAAAAGAGAGAAAAAACTGATAGTATCTAGAAAGTATATGGCAACACCTCAAAAGGTATATATTGATTTTGAACATAATATTAAATAAATTTTTTTCCCAAAATGGCTAGTAGTTTTTGGCGGGATTTTTCTACTTTTGGAATAGATTTTTTGCATTGTATTTCACTTTAATATATATATAGATTTATTACTAGTGCAAGTTTTAAGGCTGTGTACTAAGTCTTATTATTATATTTGTGAATAAAAAAATTAACTAAATAGAATAAATAAATTATTATCTATTATTAAAAACTTTCTTGTATACAATATTTTTTGTCTTGTAGTCACACCATCCTCCCCGCAAACTAATATTTTCAAATACTGTAGACACAGGAAACAGCTACATACAATTGGTCGTAACTGATCACCGACTTATTCAAGAATATGTCAACATGTGATAAGACTGACAATGGCGCTTGTTAATCATCATGGCATAAGAAACCATTATGGGAAACTACCTATGCTGAAAATTGAAAGGTACTACAATGTCGGAAGGTGTTAGTCATATGAGGTATTAACACCTTATCTCCTGCATTAGATCCAATCAATACCTTGCATTCAATCACATTAGTGGAGAGCTTTGTGACAACCAATCTTGTATCATTGCACAACCCAATAGAATGGTCAATGTTTCGCAACAACGTGACTGAGGTTCCTAATTTAAGATTAATTAATGGTTTGACACTCCAGAACATTTGATAGTATTCAAAAACTCAAGGGTGTGGAGATCGGACAACAAATCATTATTGGAACTAGATTTGCACGTACTATCAGAGCTCTAGTATGTTTATCCATCAGTCACATCAAAGACATCATGTACTCATTGATAGACACAATCACCTCTAATGTTGGTGCTAGTATAGCCCTATCCTTCAAATATCTGATATCATCGGTTGCATCATTAAACATTGATAGGTGCTCTCAACAATTACAGCGATAGAATCGTCAGTGGGCTCCAACAATATATAATCAGGTATGTATGTCAAGGCACATCCATCATTGGATCCCCCAATAGTTTTATCTCTGATGCTCGCTATCCAAATAGCAAAGTCAGTTAGCTCCTCGCGTTTATCTGAATAACCAATACTCTGAAGGCGCATATTTTTTGCAAGTCTCAACACAGTGCACTCAGCCCATCTGCCGAAGAATTAACTGCAGGCTTTCTTTGTTGATCAACAGAGGCCGAGAAAAGAGAAACTAAAAGTACAAGTCTCAGTTGATCGAGATTGAATCCGAAAAAAAAAAAAATCTTAACCAGGCTGTGATACCATGTCAAAGAGATTTGTGGGGAAACTGTATCTCGTATTGATGAAAAGAGAGGGCTTTAAATCCCAACCAGGTACATGATAAGAATGGAAACACCTAATTAGAAGATAGAGAAACTCCCGAATTACGGCCTATCAAATATTCACATAAGATATTACAAGATATCTCTACTGTCTACATGAAAACTAGCAAACTTTGGCTATCCAAGCACAGCCAACTCAAGGAGGTAGATTGATGGGCCCACTGGTCTTTGAAGTATTTAGGTGTAGTATTGTATGTCGAGTAAATGGGTAAAGCCATGGTAATTGCATAGTAGGGTGCCAAAAGAAACATTAGTTTTTAATTGTACGTATAGCTAATAAAGTAAGCATAAGAAAGTGGTAGTTCACAAAAAATGCCATACATCAAAACATATTTACAGAATTGAGAATCATCTATTTGAAAATAGATGTTTACAATTATGTTAAATTGCAAAAAAGGCAAAAAGGATCAGTTTAATAGTTGCCATGTCCAACAAAAGACAAAAACTCTGGTGCAAAGGTTTTCATCCATTTTTGGGCGAATTTTTATTGAAGGGTTTGTAGCAGGGTTTTGTGGTGGCTGTATGGCTGACTGTGATGAGGATTGGGTTGTAGTTGAGCTGCCTGTTTCTGCGGTGCGTTGTTGGGTGTCAAAGTTGATTTGTTTTTTTGGTCGAGGTTTCTGGGGTGTGTACATTTGGCGATTGTTCGATTTTCATGGCGACTGACTCGAGGACATTTTTAAGTGTTGGGTTGAAGAGATTTGGATTGTTATCCTGTTTCATATAAATTATTAATTATTGTAATATGTCAGTGGAGCATCAATTGGCAATCACAAAAATTATTTTGTAATACCTTGGATGGTGTTGTTGTAGAAATTTGTTTGCCGGATGACTCTCCTGTAGATGTATTGCTCTGAACCATCATCATTTCAACAGTGTAAAATTTGACTATTGTGTGGTAAGCAGATTCAGATTGTTTGACGAAGCACACAACTTTGTGGCGTGCGACTGATGCGGCAATTTCTTTAGTTAAGTCACAGCCCTACATAAAAATAATAATGTCATGCAAAAAAATTGCTTGAATTACTTCTTCCTAAATAGTTGAATTTTTTTTATTGAACTAAACTTCTTTCTTCTGTTATTGGTACGTTTTTTTCATAAATATTTGAATAAATTAAATAACGATAACATTCATTAGAGTTTTTTCAGTGTTCGAGAATGTATAAACTAAATCTAATAGTTTGTGTTTAAAGAAAGAAAAATACTATTGATTTGTGAATGAACTGATATTTTATACAGTATTGCTATTTGTTAAAAAAACTAACTGAAAATGATAGTTATGAAATTTTAAATTATTGGTTTCGGTATAAGTTAAAAATTTTATGTGTTTAGAATGTACGTACCTGTTGGTCTGCCTCATATAGTTCATTGCCGCTATAAGTGATTAATCGTTCTGCATACGCGCCATAGATTACAACATTTAGAGTGCCAGTTTGATCTTCGACTGCTATTGGCAATCGACACCTAATATATTTAAATACTTCTTTTATTTAAGATTTAAGTTTATAATAATGTGCTCTTTTAGTTACAGTAAGAAAATATGCCAATAATACCTTGCTTCAACATGAGAGTCCTCGCGGAAGATACGACATTTCATTGGGGTGTTTGGGAGCATGTTGTAATTCTTACGACAAATGTAACATGTGGTTGTCCACAAAGGTCTGTTGTCCTGAATGAATTTTATTTTTTCCCTAATCCAACAAGTTTTAACCTGGATAATTAGTCATAAAAATAAATGAATAAGTATTATTGTTGTATAAATTCAGTATATATTAAGTGCTTACACTCCGCATGGCTGCAAAGGCATCCTGGACTGTAACTATAGCAGTAACTTCAGGCATTGGGATGAGCTTGTCCGTATTTCTGTATGTTTCCTCATTCACAAGTTGTGTCACATGGTTTTTGTTGTCAATGTACCTATTTAGTGTTTGAGGTTGTGAATATAAATGCATTGGAACTGTTTATCTTTATCTTAAAAAACCAACATTAGTTTACCATTGCTTTAATTCAGCTGTTGCAGGCATTGGTGGATTTACCATCGAGCAAGCTCCCACTTTTGTAGATAATGACAATCCTGCAGACATGAATACAGA